GTCCAAACAGTGTATCAGCTAAGTCATGATATTGATGTTGGTCGTTTCCAAACACTAATGGCATGTTTAACTGGCACTTTTGAAGAAGTGAAAATTTTAGCATTTGATCTTCTAATGAAGTTACCAAAAACGGTTGTACAATTTCAGGTATCTGGACTTCTCTCATGCAAGTGTAAATGTGGCGTATGCACGAACACTTTCTGTCTCAGTAACAGAGCAATCTGTGGATTGTCCAGGCTTCTGTACTTCTGCCTTCTTACATCTTCTGACTGTTTTGGTTATCATTAATACCTTTCCTGTTGCAGGTGGTGATACAGAGAAGGTGGGATAAGTAATGGGGAAGAAGGCAGTATTGTAAGAGTTTTGGTTTTTGTTTTGTTTTGATAAAAAGGGAGGTGTAGGAGGCAGTAGGTTTTATTGTTTACAAGATTATTGGTAGATTTCAGTCAACTGTGGTCTCCCCAGTTTCCTTGGTCATGTTAATACTCGATCAAAACACATCACTTACTGTAACTTGATTTTTTTTTGAGATAATCTCCCTGCTTAGTAGAGTGGGAAGCTGAGTGTAAAGGAGGTAGAGAACATGTTTCTGATGTACCAACAAGCAATAGCTAAACTGAGACTGAAACTCAGAGTACTTGAGGTTAACAACAGTTCTCTCCCTGGGTGTTCTACCCTATCCCTAGCCTCTGTGCTCTTCCTGACACCTTGCACTTTCCCCCCTTGGGGTGAATATCAAAGATGGGCTCAGGAATGAAGGCACAGCATGGGGATGGGTCTGCAGGGGACCCCGTTGCCTAAGCCCTCGGCTCTTCCCTTGAGGCTTATTGTGGAGCAGTGAGGTCACCAGCAGCTGTGGGGTCACTGGCTCTAGAGTTTAGCTGTGGCTCTCTGTTGGAGCTGTATGGAGGCCATGTGAACCTGCAGGGGTGGCAACTGAGCCCTGGTCTGGGCTCCAGCTGTTAGGCTCTGTGTAGGGCATGACAGCTTGTAGATGCAGTGGGATTCTGTGGGAGCACATGTCAGAGAGCCCAAGCTGTCTGTTTCCACTGCTTCTAGACAGCATTGCAGGATCTCAGAGCATCTCTTGACTTGGGTCTAAAGTGAGAGTTGCTCTCTAGTGTCTCCCTATCCCAGTGGTCTTTCAGGTGCCCTGGTGAGCAGATGCTTACTTTTGTACAATATAAGAGTTTATAGATTTTTTTTTTTCTGAGGAGGTACTGGGGATTGAACTTGGGACCTTGTGCATGCTGAGCATGCACTCTACTACTTGAGCTATATCCTCCCCTATAAGAGTTCTTAAAGAAGATGCTTTCTCTTTCTCTATCTCCCCTTCCAGCAACCCTTACCTACCATTCATCACACTGTAGCCTCATATCATAACTATGCCTCGTTTCTAGCAAGTATTTTGAGAGTGTCTGGAGTGCGGAAAGGTATATTATGGCCCTATATGAAAGAAAGACCTGGTCCTTACATGAGCTGTGACGGGCCCTTAGCGGGCCTCTGTATCTCTAATTTTATAAACATGTGCTTGGTATATAGACACAAACTGTAGAATTCAGGAAACTTAGTAGCACGTATGGCTTCCTATAGGATTTTGGTGGTTACGTGTGTAATCTGGCTTGTGTATTAGTAAAGTGATCCTAGGAATAGACATACAGGATTTTAAAATATTAATTATATATTTTCAGAGTCTTTCTTTGGGTATACCCTATGTAATATATGAATTAATTTTTTAATATAGTTAACTTGAAAACATTTTTTGGCTGGCAGCCTAATCTCTTTAAGAACCTGTATATTCATATTTTTGGTGGCATATCTTTCCAATATATGACTTTACTCCTCACCTAGTCTGTTGCCCTTCTTCTTTGTGGAGTGACATATCCAGGGTCTTTATGTTCTGGTTGACCTGAGATGATGAAACAAAGATGCTGGTTTAGATTCCAGAGGCTATTTTGTTTCTTACAAATTGGTTGGTTAAGCAATTTAGAGACTTAACTGTCAATTACCAAAAATGGATTATATGCTTAATTGGTTCATTTGTTTGTTTGTTTATTTAAAGTCTCATAAAAGTTTATTATAAAAATACAATTGACAAGGAAATTTGATTGTTTCTAATATTTACTTATTGAGCTTTTGGCCACTACCTTTCAGTTTTTTAGGTCACAGAAAATTAAATGTATCAAATGGTAAAGAAATTGAGTAGAAATTAACTGATATTTTAATCTATTATTTGATATTGGAAGACATTATTAAATGTTAATGTACCTATGATCAAATTCAATTTAAGTTTATAATGATTTTTACCTTATATTAGGCAGTTAGGGAATAATCCTAGTAGAATCAATATTATTGAGCCACAAAACTGTGAGTTCCAGTGTGGGGAATGTGCCGCTTGTCAAGCACAGAGTTGGGACTAGGATCCATGTGTCCTGTCCTCAGTCTGGTGCCTTTCAATACATATTACAGTGAACTGTCCTCTGTTCTATCTTTTGTTCAGGCTATGTGAGTGGATGTTTAAATGTGACATGGGTGTGGAAGCTCTGATGCAGAATTTCTGAGGTTGATCTTGTCACTTTATTTTTCACACATACGCATGGAGCTTTGCCAGAAACAGCCTGGCGAATTTGTGTTTTTATATGTATTTGTATTTTTCTCCATTGAACTAGCTGTATGGGCAGGGGGTGGGGAGAAGGGCAGGAACACAGTGCCCAGTAAAACAAACTTCGATATACAAAAGCAGTCTGGTCTATACAAAAATAATGAAGATGACCTGGCTTTGGTCATAGCAGAATTTGTACAGGAAAAAGTATACTTTTGCTGAGGAAAGAGGTACTGTAAAAAAAAAAAAAAGTTCTCAATATTGAATTTCCTAACTGAAATTGTTTTCAAGATCCTCATCCCTAGGACTGATCGATAAAAATCATCAATAATTACAATGAAAACTCCAACAGTTAATGTTCATATTGAGTTACAGTTTTGTGGCAAGCTCTGTTTTTAAATATGTTTTATTTCAAATTAATGTTTCAATGACAGTAACTGAGTCTGTGCTTTATTCTAGGATTCAGAAAAATTGCAAGGCTTATTCCAGGCTGCACTGGAGCTCAGCACCAGCACCAAACCATATGACTGTGTAACAGCTTCCTACCTGCTGAACTTCTTAATCTGGAAGAATGCTCTGCCGTCATCTCTGTCTCCCCACTTAAAAACTCAGCGGGTTGCGTGTGGAGATGGAGATAAGTCTGCTGCTGTGGTGGAAAATAACACATTAATGAGTTCGTATTGAGTAAATGACCTTTTGCTCTTATTTATCAAAACCAATATCTTGCTCTCACTATTCATATGGTTAGAATATTTAATGGTTAAACATTTACTTTGTGGTTTTACATTTAAGAGTTTACCAGCATAAAGTATGCCATGAATTGCTCCTTTGCCACTAAATAGTTTACTCAGCTGTATTGTTTCTAAACAGGATTCACATTAAATAAGTAGATATGCAAATGTACATTAATAGAGCTTTTATTTAAATAAGACCTCTTTCTCTACCAAAAATGTACTTTTTTTTTCCCTGTAGAAATTTTACTATGGCTATAGCCAGATCTAGGGTCTGAGTTGGTTTAGATCTAATGATTTTAAACAGATATTTGTTGGGGATTCATGTACTTAATTTTATGCTAGTAAATCTTCATTTTGGAATTGCACTAGAAACGAGGACGGGTAGGAATTTTTAATTAAACAAAGGAGAGGTCATATATAGAAAGAGAGTTAGTCTCTCCAGGATGGTGGGAAAAGCCATAAAAAAGAGAACTAAAATGGGAGAAAACTAGGAGGCCATGGATAGTTCTAGTGAAAATGTGGTCATAGAGCTCGCGATGGAGAGATGACGTTGCCATGGGAAATGACACGTGCCCACCTTAGGTAATAGTTTCTTAGATATGACACTCAAAGCACAAGCAACAAAGAAAAAATAGATAAACTGGACTTATCAAAATTTGAAACTTTTGTGTGTCAAGGACACCATCAAGAAAGTGAAAAGACGACATGCGAAATGGGAAAAAGATTTGCAAATCCTTTAGCTGTTAAGGGACTTGGATCTAAAGTATATAAAAAACTTTTACAACTCACTAGTAAAAGGTCAAATTAATAAAAAATAACCAAATTAAAACATGGACAAAGAATCTGAATAGACATTTCTCCAAAAAAGATAAATATGAACAATAGCAGATGAAAAGATGCTCAACATCATTAGCTGTTCGGGAAATGCAAGTCAAAATCACAATGAGGAAGCACTTCATCCTCAGTAGGATGGCTATAATGAAAAAAACAGATGATAACAAGTGTTGATGAGCATGTGGAGAATGTGGATCCCTCCTATACACTGTTGATGGGAATGTAAAATGGTCCGGCCCCTTTGGAAAACAATCTGGTGGTTTCTTGGAAGGTTACACATAGAATTATCGTATGACTGTGCAGTTCCACTCTTGGCCATTTTCTTAGTCAGCTCAGGCTGCTATAACAAGATACCATAGAGTGGGTGGCTTAAACAATAGGCTTTTATTTTTCAATTCTGGAAGCTGGGAAGATCAAGATTAAGGTGCTGACGGATTTGGTTCCTGATGAGAACTCTCCTCCTAGTTTGTAGACAACAGCCTTCTAGCTCTGTGCTCACACAGAGGAGAGAACAAGTTCTGGTCTCTGTTGAGGACAGTAATCCCATCACGGGGGTCCCCCCTCATGCCCTCAGCTAAACTTGATTACTTCCTAAAGATTCTACCTCTAAATACCATTGCATTGGAGGTTGGGGTTTCAACATGAATTTAGGGGGAGGGAAGGGGGACACAAACATTCTGTCCATAATGGGCATATACTTAAGAAAAATGAAAGCTATGTCCAAACAAAACTTGTGCATGAATATTCATAGCAGCATAAGTCATAATAACCAAGAAGTGGAAACACCTCACATGTCCCTCAGCTGATAAATGGATAAATAAAATGTGGTATATTCATACAATGGACTGTTACCCAGCCATTAAAAGAAATGAAACATTAATACATGCTACAGTATGGATGAACGTTGAAAACATTAGACTAAAGTAAAGAAGACACAGATTGTATGATTCCGTTTATATGGTTTGTTCAGAATAGAAAATAAGTACGTGGTTGCCTAGGGCTGGGGAGGGTGAAGGTGCATGGAGGGGAGTGCCTGGGAATGGGTGAGAGTTTTTTGAGGGGTGAAGATGAAAATGTTCTAAAATTCACTGTGGTGATAATTGCACATAGCTGTGAATATCCTAAAAATCATTAACTTCTACACTTTAAATATATAAATTGTATGGTATATGAATTATATTTCAATAAAGCCATTATCTTTTTAAAAAACTTTCCAAATAGTACATGGGCCTGGGATCTGATAACCCTGATGGAGGATGTCTAGAAGGAATGGTCCAGAGTGAATGCTGTCAATGGATCCAGGAAGTTAGGAGAAGACACAGTTCTCCCTTAACTGGAGA